TTGTGCAAATTCTTATAAATTTAAACATTTATTAGAAAAAAAAAAAAAAAAAAAAAAAAAACCATTTCACCAGATTAAAAAACAAAAAGGTTAAATCTTTTGCCTGCTCTCCAGAGCCTTCTTCTTCCTCCTCACGCTGACCTTCTCCCTTTTCTTCCCTGCTCTACTCCTCTGCCTCCTGCACGCTGCACCAGATCCCTTCACCTCTGCGCCCAGATCCCGAGCCTTGCTCTGCACCAGATCCCCTCACCTTCTGCGCCCAGATCCCCTTTCCTCTACACCACCCACTGTCGCCAATCATGTCCCTTTGCACACCAGCATCATTGACAATCATACCCCCTCTGCACCGAGCCTGTGCCCCTCTCCTCTGTGCCCCACTGCCAGCAATCATGCCCTCTGCACACCACGCCCTATCCCCCTGCACTGAGCCTATGTCCCTGCTGCTACATCGAGCCTGCCCTCCTGCACTCTGTGCCCCAATCCCTCGCCTCTGCACTCCTGCTCACTACAGCCATGCCCCTGCCTCACCTACAGAAAAAAACAGCAATACCAGACAAAATTGGCATTATTAGTGATTGACGGAGCAAGACTTTTCTTTATTTATTTCATTTTTTTTATTTTTGTTATTTGGGTATATAGAGCAAAAAGCAGAGTAAAGAGGAGAATTTTTTGTTGATTTCGGGTTCTTTTTTTGGGAGCTAGGAGTTTTCTTCTGGTTTTGAGTTTGGTGTTGACAGCAGAGAAAAGGGGATTTTTTCTGCTAGAGGGAGCCGGTTTTGTGAGAGGAGATTGTCAAGGTTGCAAGAGGAATTCCATTTTCTGGAGTGGCTATCTTTAGGTATATCTCTGAACAGAGAATTTTTGTTAGGAAAATGGTGAAAGAGATGGTGGAAGCTTGATCCCATGGGTGGGATCCCTTCCATCAGATCCAGATCCGTTTTTCTTTCAAAAATTCGCTATGTTTGTTTTCCTGTGGGTGTTTATTGTTTTTTTATCTGATGTTAAGATTGAATGTGTTTCTTGAAAAATGAATGAAAAGCCAAAAGAAATTGTCTAGTTCGTCTTTATTTGATGAATGTATTTTTATTTTATTTTTCTGTTGGTTGTTTTTTCTTTGGGATTGGATGTATATTCTGGAGGAACTTTGTTTGGAATCCGATGAACTCTAGTTTTTTCGTTTTTTCTGCATGTTTTAATCCTTCTTTGCCTATTTTCTCACTCGGATTATGTTTGTGGGTCGAGTTGACCCGACCCAATCTAATAGATTAATTATATATATAAAAAAAAAACTAAAAAAGTTAAAAAAGTAAATATATATAAATTTTATTAAGTAATTAAGTTAGTTTAATTTATGATTAATAAAGTTAATTGATCTTAATTAAAATAAATTAATCATATTTATTGAATTTAATTTGAGATAATTAAATTTATTTGATTATCTCAATTAAGGATTAGTAAATATGATTAATTAATTTTAATTAATTTTAATTAATATTAAATTAATTATCTTAATTAATTAATTTCAATCCGCAATTTTCTGTAAATTTTGTTAAAGTGAAAGTTATCTTTTATTTTATTTCAATTTCACCCAAAAGTTTTATAATTAAACAATTCAATCCTATGGTTTTAAATCTTTTTAAATCAGTCCTTCATTTTTTTTTGAACTTAATCAAATCAGTCTTTCATGTTTTGAATTTAATCAAATTAGTCTCTTTATTTTTTATTTGTGCTTATGATGCATGCATGTCTTTGATTTTGTCCATTTTAGTCCAAAAATTCAAAAAAAAAAAAATTCAATTTAGTTTATCCCTTTTTAAAGTTTGCCTATTAAGACTTAAACATAAATATAATGAATAAGTTGAATTAAAACTCTCAATTTTAAAGTATGCAACTGTATTTAAACGGAGGATTGTGAGGTGCGCATATGTGCTTCCTCATTCCTAACCAAACCCTCAAACCCTGATCTCTGAGCAGACTTGTTTTTAGGTAACTTGTCCCACCTTATAATTTGGACGAGTGGCGACTCCCTCTTTTTTATATTTTTACACTTAATTTTTCATTATTTTGAAATCTTAAATGGTCATCAACAGATTGGCAACTCCACTGGGGACAGAACCCAGAATCTCTGGTTTCCATATTCTGGGTTCACGAGGGTCGAGCAATCCTTTAACTTTGGGGAATTTTCAACTTTTGATTTTTCTTTATTTTTTGAGTCTTTGTGGGTCTTTGTTATTTATTGTATGTGCTTGTCACATGTTGCTTGTTGCTTGTTTGCTCATTGTTTTAATGGTTGCTTTGATCGTTTTGTCTTTGAGTAGTTACCTTGCTACATCTTGACATGCATCATACCTTGCTTACATGTTCATGCATCATATCATTTCACATGCTCATCCATCATTGATATAACATGCTTATTCATCATGCATCATGCTTACATGCCTACTTGCTTGTATGTGGATGTACTAACTTTTTGCATTTGGCATGGGAGTACGAAGTGAGTCCCTTCCTGCTGTGTAAGTAAGTTTTGTTTGTGGGTGATATATTTGTTGAGTGCTTTACATGTTTTATTTGCTTGTTTGCTTTATCTGCTTATTGTGGGATATATGTTGCTATTTTTGTGGTTGTCATTGTGCAAGTTATTGGAGTGTCATGCCCCTTGCACACACTCACTCTCATTTTTGCATTAAGTCTGTGTCAGAGGTGAACTCGACCTCTAGTCTAGAATCCTTATGAATCTGGCTTGGAAGAGCAATTCTTCCCACTTTGAGGAGTAAGATCGGTTCCTGTTAAGTTGTTTCCATTAGTTAATACGACACTTGATGATGTAATATCATTTTGTGTATTAGCTTTTGGAAATATCTCCCATCGATTCTGAAAGGATAAATGGTTGAGAAGGCCTAATGCCTTGTAGGAAAGCATGTATTGGCTTTAGAGAGATACCAACCCTAGGACATGTTTCCTTTAGCATCTCACCCATGAGGCTAGGCGTCCCGTGTTTAAGGCACAAAAGGGGCATTTTACTTCGCTAACCTTCGTTTGTGCATATGGCAGCTTATTTTTGCACACTTAATGAGGTATGGCATGTGAGGGTATGATTTATGTTTAGGTAAGATCATGCATTAAACATGGATTTTACCGATGATACAACTAGACAAGGGAAAAGACTTGGGGAAGATGTCACATCTCATTCTACTGCTAAGAAGGCTAAAGAGCCAATCTTTTTAATCAATACCTCCAAACCTGACTTGAAGCTGTTGAAAGAGGCTTATGGCTTGTTGTCCTCTAGAGAGAAGCATGACTTTGAGGTTCGATTTGGGTGCATTGAGGATCTATTGTCAATGGTGTCAGATTGGAATTTGTTCCGAGCTATGTTGAAATTCTATGTCCCTCAATATCAAGCTTTTGTGTTCCCACACTTTGAGTTGATGCCCACCATTGATGAGTATCATCACTTCCTGCGGTGTAGTCCTTCACTCCTCAAGCACAACTTATGAAGTTCACACTAGAAAAAGTTCAAGAAATGTTGCAAGCTATGTGGGGGTTTCCATTTGAATTCTCACGACCATTGGTGACAACTAGAGATGATTCTTATAGGTTTGATTGGAATGAAGCGTTAATGGCTTTGGGAAAGAGATTGAAGGGCATGACATCTTCTCAAAGAATCAACTTTGTGGCATTGGGAATTTATGGCATGGTGATCTTCCTTATCTATGTCAAGACCATTGCATCTATGGTGGTAGCTTTGTTTGAGCAACTGTTATACACTTCAGCATTTAATCCTGCTTATACAGTGGTAGCCGAAACTTTGTGGTCTATGAAAGAAATCTGGGCTAAAAGATCTGGCCGCTTCTCGAGTTGCATGAAGTTGTTCACTGCATGGGCACATGGTCACTTGAGGGGTCTTCAATTTGAAGCTTTATTTAGCGTTCCTGTGAAAGATAGAAAGACGGAGGATTGGCATCGATCACTTCTAGCAACAACTATTAATGATGTCAGATTTTTTCTCCTGACTTGGGATGCTACTCATTATCTTGCTCCACTCGAAGAACATCACTCTATTCCTTTGCTAGGTATTCATGGAGGGGTTACATATTCAATGGAGTTGGCATCTCATTAGTTTGGAAAAGCACAAAGCGTTCCCTATCTTGATGATGCATTGCAGTCACACTTTGATTACATGTCTTCCCCAGCAATTGTATTCGAAGCACATGAGGTGTGGGAGAAATATAGGATGTTGTTGACGACCACTTAAGATTTTTTCAAAACAAAGAAAAATCAAGTGTGAAAAATATAAAAAAGAGGGAGTCGCCACTCGTCCAAATTATAAGGTGGGACAAGTTACCTAAAATAGGTCTGCACAGAGATCGGGGGTCGAGGGTTCGGTTAGGAGTGAGGAAGGGCATACGCGCACCTCACAATCCTCCGTTTAAACATGGTTGCATACTTTAAAGTTGGGGTTTTAATTCAACTTATTTATTTTGTTTATATTTGGGTCTTAATAGACAAGCTTGAAAAGGAGATGAACCAAATTGCAACATTTTTAACATTTTGGACTAAAATGGACGAAATCAAAGACATGCATGCACAATGAACACAAGTAAAAATCAAAAGGACTAGTTTGATTAAGTTTGAAACAGGGAGGACTGATTTGATAAAACTCAAAAAAAAAACATGAAAGACTGATTTGAAAAGAATTGATAGCATGGACTAAATTGCTTAATCATAAAAATTTTGAGTGAAATTGCTTAATCATAAAACTATTGAGTGAAATTGAAATGAAAAAAAAAAGATAATTTGGACTTTTGACCAAGATTAGAAGAAATTAATTAATTAAATGATTAATTTGACACTGATTAAAATTAATTAATCATATTTATCAACTTTTAATTAAAATCATTAAATATACCTAATAATCTCAAATCGAAATCAATAAACATAATTAATTTATTTTAATTAAAGTTAATTAATTTTATTAATCATAAATTAATTTTTTTTTACTTTTTAACCTTTTTAGTTTTTTATTTATTTATTGGAATAGGTTGAGTTGATCTAACCAGAAACACAACCCGCTATTTAAAATAAACAAAAACAAATCAAACACAAAAAAATAAAACTTGCAATTAGGGTTCATCAGTTTAAAGGAAGAACACATTCATCATAACAGAAAAATCTTATTCACCAACACAAAAAAAAGGCACACTCATCAAACAAAATGAACTGAACAACAATTTTTTTTTTTTTGATTTTTCATTCATTTTCCAACGAAACACATACAAACTTAAACATAGATCTAAACAAAATCAACAGAAAATAACAGAAACACCCACGGCGGAATTTTTAGGAGGAGGTAGATCCAGATCGGAAGGGAGGGATCCCACCCACGGGACCAGGCTCCATTCGTCTCCTTCACTATCCTTCCCAAAAATTCCTGAACAAAATCCCTCTGTTCAGGAGATTACCTAAAGCAAGAATACCGTTTTGTTTTCCCACCTCCAGCGAGCAGAATCGATCTTCTTTTCAAACTAAACTCGAAAATCAACCAGCAAAAGACCCCCTTCTTCTCCTCAGAATTTCCTTCTTCTGCTCTCAAAAACTCAGATGAGACTCCACAGCTAACAGACCCAAAATCAACCAAAAACCAACCCCACAATCAAACTCCAAAACTTCACCAACCACCCCAGACCCCCTTTTGCATTCTGCTTTTGCTCTATATATAGACCCAAGCAACAAAATGAAATAAAAATAAAAATAAAAAAAGTCACTAATGATGCCAATTTTGTCTGCTATTGGCTGTTTTTTTCTGTATGGCTGTAGTGTGCAGGAGGCAGAGGCGCAGTAGGGGCAGCAGCAGGGGCACAGGCATAGCAGAGTGCAGGCGGTCTGGTGCAGAGCGCAGGAGCTGGTGCAGAGCAAAGCTGGTGCAGGAAGCAAGGCCGGGCGCAGCAGAGTGCAGGCTCGGTGCAGGCAAGCAGTAGGGGATCTGCAGCAGGGGGTAGGGCGCAGTGCAGCAGGGCGCAGGCTCGGGTGCAGCAAGGCACAGGCTCGGGTGCAGCAAGGCGCAGGCTCTGGTGCACCAGGGCGCGGGCTCAACAAGGCATAGGCGCGGGTGCAGCAAGGCGCAGGCTCGGGTGCAGTAGGGAGCGGGCTTAGCAGGGCCTGTTCGCGGCGAGCAAAAGGGGCGTGTGGGGAAGAAGAAGGTTCTGGAGAACAAAATATTTAAGCCCTTTTTTTTTTTGTTTTGGGTTTTGGGTTTGGTATTTGGGTTTTGGGTAATTGGGTTTGAGTATTTGGATTTTGGGTAATTGGGTTTGAGTATTTGATGGGCTAGATTTATAGCTTAAAAGATTTTATCCCCCAACTTTTGATTTCTTCAATTGAGTCCTTTCTTTCTTCTTCTTTTCCAATCTTCTTCGTAAAATTTCCTTTTTGCCCCCATTTTTTTGAAATTAACAAGTAAAACAAAGACAAAATATATTAGTTAAAAATAAAAATAAAATAAAATAAAATTCTATTAAAATTTGAGTTATGACAGATGCTACCTATATGGAAAGAGAATAGGACTAGACCACAATATGAGCAATGGAGATCGAGTTGGATAGCTAAGCTTTCTTTGCCATGGGAGGTGACAAATACAAAAAACTCTACCATCATGGACTTAACCGCTAAGTTGGAACTTAGCCATGCTCAAAGATGTCAGTTGTTAGAGAAGTATGATGAGTTAGCTCTTGATCATGAATTGCTTAAAAAAGGGCAGGAGTTGTCCGATCAACAAGTGGCAGGGTTGAAAGACAAGATTGCCTCTTTAGAAAGGGATTTGGCTGCTAGTAAGGAAATTTGTGGAAGCAAAAGAGGAGCTTGGAGTTTGTCGAAGAATAACGGAAAAAGCTGCTACGAGTAAAGGCGGATCTTGAGGCAAAAGAAAAGGAGAACAAAGAGCTTGTGGAGAAAGTGATTAAACAGCAAGAGTTGAAAAGAAAAGTGATTAAGTGGAGGAATGCTTACAACAACTTATTGTCTGATTATGATGCTTTATAAAAGGAATTTCAAATGCCAAGGTAGTCAAAGCAAGGGGAAAAGGAAAGCACA